CCCCAAAACCCCAAAACCCCAAAACCCCAAAACCCCAAGCAATAAATTAAAAATTGACACATAATTTTTAATTAAACAATCAAAAAATAAACAATGGATAACAAGACTAGTGATTTCTTAAAGAGATTTAAAGGAAAGATCTCTAAGATCGACAAAAATGGCCATGCTGGTGTTGCTCTTAAGAGTTTTAAACCCATTCGTAAAAATCGGAGGAGACTGAAGGAGGAGAGCATCCCTGAGAGAAGACTCTCCCAATGTGTTCAGAACAGACGGAACAAAAGCCTCGGGCTTATTAAAGCTGGACTGGAGAAACACAAAATTTTTCAAGAGAATTTGGCTAAAAATAGTGGTAAAATCAATGATTACGGAAGGAACAAAGAGAATTCATTAACACCTGATTATACAAGAAAGTCAGCTAAAGGTACTGCTTAGGTAGCGCTTTTCATATTTTCTGGCTTATTTATGCTCCTACATATCCCTCAAAACTCACCTGACATATAGCATCCATCTCACAGATGAGAAGCCAAATTAATGAATCTCAATCAACTCGTAGTAAGGCTTTCATCAAAAATCGTTATCAGATTCTTAATATTTCCCAAACTCGCTTAGAATTTTGCTTCAAAGCTGTCTTGTGAGAAACCCGGTGGGTTTTCCTACAAAATGGAGAGATTTAGTCCTCTAACCGTTCATTCCATCTTAGAATCTGTGCCTGTCAGAAATATGAAACTGTTCATTTTTCTACGAATTCATCAGAAAACAGGTGAATAAATTCAAGAAGCGTGATAAACCTGATTTCTGAAAGTTTTACTAAGAATTATCTTTTCAACTTCTCCTTGGGACATATAAGAAACTGGCCTGAGATCCTGGCTAACTTTACATAGAACCGATTCATAGGAGGATTAATTTGGGCGAGATTGGCAGTATGAGGTACTTTTGATAGTAATCCTGTAGCCTGAAAAGCATTAGAGAGAAAGGGACATCGTACAGTACGACTAAGACACTGGGTGTCAACCATAACACCAGCACTCTGACCGGCCAACAAAAGTGCGTATTTCCTGAAAGCCAGTTTGGCTGCGAGTTAAATTTTATATTTCTCAGACTTTTGATGTAAATTTAACCAAATTTTTGTAGTATAAAATTGAGCAAGAAGGTGAAACTATATGGTAATATCCAACCAAAAACCGAGTTAATGAGAGAGAAAGCTATTAAGAATATAAGAGGGTTTAGGAGATCTTTAAAACTCTCCAACTCTATAGCAGGAAATCATTTAGATTCCACTAATTGCTCAGACAATACTGGAGACTACGCAATCTACAAGGTCACTTATGACAAGAACTCCACTACTGTAACAGAAATGGATGATTTTGGTATAAGCCTGACTGAGGCTCATGGTACTTTAAATCCTTTAATGAGAAAAAGCCAATCGATTTCTTGCACAAATAGACGCCGAAATCCCCGCCATAACCCTGAAAACTCAGAAATTTTACCTTTAATCCATAAATTCAGAAGGGCTATGAACTCTCCTCGACTCGGAGGTGACAGTGAGACTTTAAGACTTGGTCGGAATTTGACTATTTTATCATAAAACTTTCGCTATTTTCAATAACTGATGAGCAAAATGGGGTTTTGGGGTTTTGGGGTTTTGGGG